CATAACCAATTTCATTTTCAACAAAACAGTGAGTGGCTATAAAACAGGATTTGTTTTATACAGCTGTCACTTTAATGATATTCATTTCTTGGTTGGATATACAGTACATGTCAACTCTGAGCAGATTTAATACAATGAACACAGTACAGTAGTGTAACATCTTAATTCAAATAACTTTTTCTACAAGTTTTTTTTGTACCAGTAGCGAGTATAAACAAAACATACTGTGTAATTTATAATGTACAGTGAACAACTGATTTTGATATCTGAACTCTTCATCAGTTTATATTTAAAAAGCCATAAATGCTCACCTGTACTGTGTATTTTTCACTGTCAAGTGTATTAAAAAGAACTAGAACTCACTAGATTGTCTGTTTCTTTGAACACTGAATACAGTAATGTGATGCAAGAAAGAAGAAATGGTCTAATCTTACCATGTGGTTATGGAATCAATCGTAAACCAGACCAAAACCTGAGTCAGTAGAGTTGAGACACACCTGAATGTCCATTAAAAATGACTCATAGGTACAGTAGTGTGCAGGAAGACGTAGTACTTCAAAACCGGTGTAAGACTTTGGAAGACTGCTGTTGACCACTTCCACAGTCATTTCTCGGCAAGACTTCCCATCCTGTCCAAAACTTGATGAGGGCTTTTTGTTGTGCACAAGATGCTGCAACAGAAGATTGTTTTAAACTATAATGACATCCTATATTCATTATTTTGAATCTTTTATGGAGAAATACCATAAAAGATGACCACTTACATACAGGGCACCAGACATTTTTGCCCCACTCAAATTGCTGTTGTAGCTGTTATAGATATTTTTATGTTAACAAAGCTAAAAGTAGTCTACATACAATTCTAGTGCAACTGACAATGCCACCACTCTTTTTTTATGTATTGCATGGAGCAAATAACAAACCAAATTTTATACTATAGTGTACTTTGTTAATGACCCAAGATCACTAGACTGTATGTAATTTACCAAAGTATAATCAGAGAAAACCAATGGCAAAATACCTATCGCAGTAGACTTACCATTTTCAATGAAGGACCGAAGGTAACCTGCCACTCTGCATTTATCCTCGAGAGCATTCCTCTTCTCCTCATCTTCATCTTCTGTGGCAGGCCACACTATCCTTTCTAGAATAGACTGCATAAAATAGTTCACCTTGGTTAATTTTTTCTCTTAAATGCTACAAGATAAAATAAGCTTAATTTGTCATTTTATATCTTTACTTATCTTGTAGTCTTAAGAGCGTCAGCAACATTAGGTGTATTTTTATTAAATGTAACCCAGCTGTTCGACTAGCCCAAGCATACAAAATAGTATATTGATGTTTTGTGTCAACAATTAATGTTCATCCTTCAGAAATTAACCAAATACCTTTACTGTTCAGATATTAAAAGATGTGACCTGACTTTACCTCACAACAGGGAGCAGTCTCTGAGTCCCTTGGTAAGAAAAGAGGAATGATGTCTGATCTTTCTGTCAGAAGCGGCCATACCATGGTCTCCTTAAGCCCTTTCCTCAGCTGCTTGACTTGACGGCTTGTTCGTGTTATGACCTACAACAGTGAGACCAAACCAAAACTGAAGTGTGAGTCCGTAAAGTAAAACACTTTAAATGTTAAATACTTAAAGAACATCCACTGTACTGATAAAGCATTTCAAATTGCAGGACTTATACCAGACATACACGGTCCACCATGAATGAATGAATGTCCCATTATTCTTCCTAAGATCAAACATAATAAATTCACTAAGCCTAACATTGCATGGGGGTAAAGACAAACAGTTTTGTACCGGAATTCAATCTATTTTTCATCTTTATGGTTACAGTTAGGATAATGTAACACAAGTAATGCTTTTTCCTTTAGTGCTGCACATGTATTATTTTAAATTACTATTCCTCTTATTTCTGTACATAACTTTCTTGCCTACCACCAAAAACATGTCACTCTCAAGCAAGGTCTGAGAAGTGGATGGAGTCAAGTGTTCTGGCTAACCGTCAAACAGTCTTGTAAGATCTGTGTTCCCTGAAAAGAGTACATCTAGGTTATGGTGAGTATGAGAAATCCAGGCAGTAATTTTAACACAATTAACTCATTTACATAACAAATACATTTTCTTTACATGCTGAAATATTCTCTTATTTAATCCACTATACATGTGCCCAGTCTAGTTTCATACATACCAAAATTCAAATGCAAACCAGACTGTACTAGAGAAACTGCCTTTGAGAAGAAGAATCTCTTCACCCCTTCTCCAACAGCAACATCCCCTAAAAGGAAGAAGAAAAAAAAAACTTGTGAAGTTTCGGATTAGTCAGTCACTGGATTTCTAATGTTTTCACAATACAGAAAAAATACCTTCCAGTTTGCAGCTGACAGGGCCCGCCCACTCTACCTTTGGAGCTTTGTAGAGGGAGATAAGTGATCTCTGTTGATCCACAATACTTTCCCGCAAGTCCATTTGCAGGACTACTGCCTTTCTGGTCTCATACTTTGAAAGTAACTCGGACTTGTAGAGCCAGGCTGCTCTGGTTGCATCTTGTTCACATTTCCACTCTGAAAGGTACACATTTGTATGGATCACATGAATCAAAAGAAATAAAATATATGTATTTTTTGCCATTTGTCTGGTATCTTCCTAACTTAATTCCTGTCACTACCTGGTTTTTCCCCTAGAAGTGACTTTTCCTCATCTTGATGAGATGCATCTTCCTGCACTACCACCATATCACTTGACGATTGCTCTGCTCTTGCTGAGGTTATGGTGGATTCCAAGATGATACTATCTGGTTCCTCTACCCCGCAGGACAGATTCCAGGCATCACTGTTGCTACAGGATGGGACCTCTGACCTTGCTGTTGTACTACGAGTCTGCCTAGCCTGACTTTCAGTAACAGACTGAGGTTCAGCACCACTCAATGAACTGTGAGAGGGATTGGCAGAGATTTCAGCATCCATCACCAATATATATAAAGTGGACTTACTTAGTTTCCACACTATATACTAAAATATATAGAAAATCAAAGATGTTCCTTACCTTGTGCATTTAGTGATGTGGTTTTTCATTTTATTTAAAGGAATGTTAATGTCACAATTCAGGCATTTTGTGGGGGGTCCTTGTTGCTGGAGGGTTGTCAGGCTCTACAGAGAATATGGAGATAAAAATATATATATACATTTGGTGCATACTGTGATAAAAAGTATTTTGACAGTTCTGCAATCGCATTTGCCAACGTGAGAAGCAGAAACAAATTGTAAACACAAAATTACATATCTCCTTCTAAACCTTTTCTAACAATTGCTTACATACACATTCAGAACCATTATTACTCATATGCAGTCATGTTTCTAACCAGCTGACAGCTAAAGTGATTTGACACATAGTCAGTGTTGGGGAGTAACGGAATACATACGTATTTAAAATACAAAATATGAGTAACTGTATTCCGTTACAGTTACCGTTTAAAAAGGTGGTATTCAGAATACAGTTACTTTGTTGAAATAAATGGATTACACGGCGGTACTTTCCTGTTTCATATTGTCGCGGGTCAGGACTGTTTGGGTTTTGTTTGACAGCTACGTTCTGTTGTTCCAGGCGGCAGCGTTACGGTTGCCATGGTTACAGGGTGACGCTCTCTCTCTGCGTGTTTCCTGGGTGAGAGAGCGCCTTTTGTTGTTGTTGTTGTGCTAAGCTAATAGGCAGAATGCTACAGGTATAGCTCTAAAGAATGTAGCATCATGGGCAGTGTAGTCCGTGCTGCAGGGAGAATGGACTGCCATACACGTTATGTGTCTGTGAGCGCGAGGAGGGAGAAAAAGGAAAAGTACGAGCTGTCATCGAGCAAAACGGGAGCTGGAAGCATGTAAATATAATAATAACCACTGCAGCCAAGAAGAGTGCCTGACGAGCCCAGTTGTAAGTAAGCTATTAAGACTCGACTGTACACCGTGTTCGTGTTTTCCTCCGAAAACAATAAGTTCCGTTGGAGCAGCCTTTCAACGCCTCTCTCTGTCTCTCGCAAGCAAAGTTGACCCAGACAACAAAGTAAAGCTATTTTTCGGCTACGAGCCGACAGGGACCCCGCCGTATTAGCCAGAGGTCCCTTTACTACGGTTCGGAGCCACGGACCTTCAGTGATAGTAATAAATCACAGCAATAGTACATTCACGTAGTTGTAAAAAGCATGATAATATATTAAGTAATCCAAAGTATTCAGAATACGTTACTCTCATCGAGTAACGTAACGGAATACGTTACAGAATACATTTTGGGGCATGTATTCTGTATTCTGTAATGGAATACATTTTAAAAGTAACCTTCCCAACACTGCACATAGCTGAGCTTAGCTAGCCATTTGAACTAGTTTATTAATACATGCAAATAACATATTCTGACCCTAGTCATTACTCATGTCTTCCAAATCAATACTTTTCTGCAGTGGCCTTATATAGATCAAAGCTTGTCCAATTCCACTCAATGGACTGCGGAGATATCGCACTGTATATCCAGTGTCTGGGCTTGGGATTGTGCACAGGTTACGGCTTCGTGTTGTACCCGAGATTCTCAGCAGTTCAAACCCTCCTGTGTCTTTCAGCTGAGGGAAGGTATCCTCAATCTTTGCCTTGACCACTTCTGGGTCATCATCCCTTCCTGTAAAACACATTACTTGCTGTACATTACTACAAAAATGGTACATATAAGAGTAAAAATGTAGTTAAACTGAATCTTGAAATATTAACAAATGACATGTAGCATCACCTTGGAATGAAATCCGTTTCTCTCCAAGTCCAGCTGCTGCTAGGTCAAATTTGACTGCTTTAGCTGGCACTGTGTCTGACATATGATCATGTAAACAGAAGAAGGTGTGTGTGTAAATGGAGCGGCATGCTTTCTTGGAAGAATGCGAGGTCAGAGATGAAAGTGGCGCTGAGGAAGGCCTCACTCTGTAAGGGGCAAACAGTCTTGCGACTTCAGCTTTAAAAAGGGAAAAACAATATTAAAGAAAA